AAAAAATAATGGGAAGGATACAAATGCAAGGGTGTATAAAGTATAAAGAAGGAGAAGGGAAATAGAGTAAAGTTCTTGAAAATGGAGGAAGGATGGGATCCAGAGCAGAGGTGGAAGAATTGTTACAGAAAGGTAGATAGAGCTCCTCAATTCAAGTGGGAAAGATAAAGAATGAGATGATACAGATTTAGGCAGGCTGATGTTGGTTTCAAGATGGTGAAAGGGTTCCCATCTGAGAGACTGTATTTTCTCTGTAATCTATGAAGAGAATAGAGTGGTTCAAGGTTTGAGAAGACAGATGAAGTCTGACATAGATATAGCAGACTAAGTTTTCCACAAAAGCGTTGAGGATTACCAAGACTATAAAGGGGCAATTTGAGGTTGGAGATCACAAACTTATAATTGTATTAAATCTTTCAACATTTATGTAACACAAATTTAACAGGTACCTATTATATGTTAGGCCCTACTTTAGGCACAGATGATATAGCAGTGGATAAGAGACCAAAAAACAGGAAGAGAAGAAAGAAAAACTCTGCCTATATAGAGCATACTCTATAGAAGGAAGACAAAAAATATGCTAACTACATAAATAAATAATTGATTATGTTAAAAGGTGAAAAGTACTGTAGGGAAATATAGATCAGGGGAAGGGAACAGAAAGTGCTGGCATGAGTAGGGATGATTGTGGTGCAATTTTAATTTGGATGGTCAGGAAAGGTCTCACTGAGAGGGTGACATTTGAGCAAAGACATGAAGGAAGTGAGGGAACGTGCCTGGTATATTCAAGGAACAGATAGGAAGTCAATGTGGCTGGAGACAAAGGAGCAAAGGGAAGGATGACAGGAGATGAGGTCAGAGATGTAATGGGGGCCAGACTGTGTAGAGCTTCGGAAAGTATGTTTACTATAGTGGAGACCACAGGCAGATCTCTACCTCTACATGTCAAGTCCTCACCTCTTGAGTTCTAGCTACATCCAAGTTTGAGGTCTCTTTTCACTTGCCTTATATGCCTTACTGTAAATATACACTAAAAAACATTAGTTCATCCTCAGCCCTGAGGGCCGAGTGGTTCAAGTTTGGCATGCTCCACTTCAGGGGTCTGGGTTCAGTTCCTCAAGCATGAAACCACACTATTCATCTGTCAGTAGCCACGCTGTGGTGGTGGCTCACATAGAAGAATTAGAAGGACTTACAACTTGAATATACAACTATGTACTGGGGCTTTGGGGAGGACAAAAAAAAAAAAGAGAGGAAGATTGGCAACAGATGTTAGCCCAGGGCAAATCTTAAAAAAAAAAATTAGCTCATCCTAATTAGCTTCCCACCTGAATCCTCTCCACAGCAAACTGGTTTCCCTTCTAAATCATCTTATTTCTCTCAAATCTTCCAGATTCCCCATCTGGCGTTATTTATTTTTAACTCTACTCTTTTTTATCCCCTATATCTAAATCAAGTCAAAGAAGCTTCAATATGGCATTTCCTTTTTCAAAAATTTCTAATAATTCACCATCAGCTCTACAGTAAAAACTTCTCATTCCTATCTAGTACACCCAGCTCACTCTCACAATTTTCGATATAAACCTACCACCGTTTGCCCCACAGGAAACAAGCTCACTTCTACTTCTAAGCCTTGCCTTACGTTTCCTTCCCTCAAAAGCCCTCTGTCTTCCTTTGACTAAATTCCAACCATATTTTATTTTATTTATTTTATTTTTGCTGAGGAAGATTCACCCTGAGCTAACATCCACTGCCAATCTTCCTCTTTTCATATGTGAGCCGCCACCACAGCATGACCACTGACAGAGGAGTGGTGCAGGCCCACGCCTGGGAACCAAACCCGGGCTGCCGAAGTGAAGCATGTCGAACTTAACCATTAGGCCACTGGAGCTGGCCCCCAACCATATTTTAGTACCCATCCAAATTCTACTCCCTTCATGAAATTTTCCAAATTACACTTTATTTCCTTCTCTGAACTTCTGTAGGATGTTTTCTCTTTATCACTTGAAATGAATTTGTGTGTTTCCTTGAATTCTACCTTAACTCCTTGGTTGGGCCATAGACTTCTCAAGGACTAAATACCACAGACATGCTTAACTGAGAACCTAATTGCTAAGGCTGCTTACCTAATGAACGACAGAAAAACTATGGGAAGGCAGGAGACAGTGGATAACAAGTCTTATGAAGCCTATGGTCAAAGAGATTAGGCCTTGCTTCCTGGGTAAGAAAATACTGGGATTCAGATCGCTGAATTGGATTTTGTTGGGCCTCACAATGCCAGAATGAAGGTAGGAAATGTAAGACAACATTTTAGGATATAGGAAGGAAATCCAACTCACCCTAAACTTGGCCATCACAGGCCTACCAGCCTTTCCTTCCTCTTCTGGGCTCTTGAGGAGGGGCGGAGTCTTGAGATGGTGGCACTGAGGGAAGAAAAAAGAGCTATGAAGAAATCAGTTTATGTCTATAGCTACCACAGTTGACATTCTAGAACTGTACTCTCTAATATAGTAGCCACGAGCCACATGTAGCTGTTTAAATTTAAGTTAGTTAAAATTAAATAAAATTAAAGACTTAATTCTTGAACTGCAACAGCCAGATTTTAATGGCTCAATAGCCAATGTAGTTAGTGGCTACTGTACTGGACAGCACAGATTTAAAACATATTCACAGAAAGTTCTACTGGATAGCACTGGTCTAGAAATCCACATATGTGGTACTTTATGAAACCATACCAACTGAATCTTCAGCTCCAGTGAGTAAGGGCATCCAGACATTCTATGCCACCCCATGACCACACAAAGGCCACAGACAGTGTGGCCTCAGTCCCATGCAGTACCCTATGCATAGCCAAAGCAGGTTCCAGAGAATAAGAGCAGTACTCTAGTCTCTACCATAGCACTTAACTACCTGTATTGAAATGACCTTTTGGAGAGTCTTTTCTCTTTCCCTCCCCTAGGCAGGAATCAAGTTTTATCCATCTTTACATCCCTAATACAAAGACTGTACAGAGCTGCATATGGTAGGTGCTTGACATGTTTGCTGAACTGAATAAACTGGGCTGAAATTTGTGCTGGATTCATAATCCAGTTACTAACATACTGGATTCAAGCATCCATTCAACTCTGTACTAAGGACTCCTATAGGCACTGAGGATGCAACAATGACCTGACAGAATAAAGCCCCTCTGAAAGAGGCAGCAAAAAAAAAAAAAAAAAAATACACATACAAGCATATATAACCTCAGGTAGTGAAAAATGCTATCAAAAGAGTAGGGTAAGGAGATGAAGAGGATCTTTATTTTAGATAGGATGGCCAGGGAAAACTTTTCTGGGGAAGAAACATTTGATCAAACATGAGTAAAAAGAGGAGTGAGCCATGAAGATAACTGAGGGCAGGCTGAGAGAACAGCAAGTGCAAAGTTCCTACATGAAAACACTGAGACAGGAATACCGTCAGCATGCTCTAGCAAGAACAGGAGGCCAGCGTGGCTGGAGAGAGTAGTAAGCTAGGGGAGAGTAAGAAATGAGGAATGGATCATTAAGTGATATAAAATAATGCCCTCTCCCTTGGTTCTTTAAGGATATAGGAGAAATTGCTTTTCGAATTCTTTCAGTATAGGACATATTGCATTTATTATCACAGCCAGTGTTACTTAATGGAAAAATCACTCAACTGGGGATGAAGAACCTTGGATTCTAATACCTAAGTGAGTAAAATGCTGTAAAGCATTAAACAAGTCACTAATATCTTGAATCTTAGTTTCTTCAGTAACAAAATAATAGGAATAAGAGTATCTGCTTCCCTTGTTTTACAGAACTTTGTGGGGATTAAGCAAGATTAAAACTTTTAAAAGACTACTGAATTTAAACATTTGAAAGGAGAGGTTTAGAACACTGCTTCTTAAAATGTGGTCCCTAGACCAGCAGTATCAGAGTCATCTTGGAACTTGCCAGAAATACAATTTCTTAGGCCCTACCCCAGACCTACTGAATCAGAAACTCCGGCAGTGGATTTGTAAGCTGTGTTTAACAAATCCTCTAGGTGATTCTGATGCACACTCAAGTTGGAGAAGCACTGGTTTAGAAGAAGGTGAAATTGTTGAGCCAGTCCCCAAATTACTAAAGCAATGGAGAATTTCCTCTTGGAGGTTCAGAATGGTGTTGCTTATGGCTGCTATGAGTTAGTAAATATACTGAATGTTTCACATACATCAGAGGATCTCAGTGGGCAGGAACTGATTCTTACAATGACCAGAGGAAAGGAACCCCACCAGCATTTAATGTGTGAGAACCAGGGATGCTACATGCCCTTTCAGCACAGGACAGTCCCATACAATTTTCAAATGTCCTGCAGAACGTTCACATGGGTGAAAATCTGTTGATAATTATCAGAGACTAGAACCTAACTCTTTTTTACACACAACCACGGAATTTTGGTTTTTGGGTGATTTCTTTTTCCAGTGCTAATCTACAGTGATTTTTCTATTGAGTTGTAATGTGTTCCCTTTTCTTTCTCCTTCACTTTAGAGTAAGGGCATTATATAGCTTTAAAAAATTAAGCAGGTAGGGTAGTTTCACCAATTTAATGAATTTCATTTCAGAATAGAAATGAGGGCATTACAAAATATTTGTTATAAAATGGGTCTGTTGGGTCCGAAAGAGTTCAGAACCACTGATAAATTGGGTCATTTAACCTCACAACAATTCCCTGATGAAGGTACTCAAAAAAATTAAATAACTGGCCCAAGATCACCACACAGGCCACAAGTCTCAAAGCCAAGATTCAAATTCAGACTTGTTTGCCTTCAAAAACCAGGCTGAAGGAAAACTTATGTTCACACAAAAATCTGTACATAAACATTAAGAGCAGCATAATTCATAATTACCAAAAGCATCTGGAAACAATCCAAATGTCCATTAACAGGTGAATGGATTAAAAAAACTGTGATATATCTATTTAATGTAATATTACTGAGCAGTAAGAAGCAACTCACATACACAAGATGGATGAGTCTCAAAAGCATTGTGCTGGGTGACAGAAGCCGGTCTCAAAAGGTCACACAGCATATGATTCCATTTATATGACACTCTGGAAAAGACAAAACTATAGAGATGGAGTAGAATCAGTGGCTGCCAGGGGTTAATTGTGGGGGAAGGGTGTGAATATAAAGGGATAGCACAAGGAAAGTTTTCGGAGTGAATGTAACAGCTCTGTATCCTGATTGCGGTGGTGGTTACACGAATCTATACATATGTTAGAACCGTCTGCCCCTCTCATATCAATTTTACTGTATAATATTTTTAAAAATAAACCAGGCCATTTCCATTGTGCCATGATGGACAAAAGGCTGGCGTGGGAAAAAATGGGTTACCCCAAGTGTCACAAGGAGGGCTTTTGGTCGAGGCTTCAAACATCCCCTCTCATACAGCCCCCATCACACGGGCGTGGAAACTCTCTTCCCACCTTCTCACACAAAGCTCTTTCCCCAGTGTTCTTAAGGTGAGGAAAAAGAAAGCTATCCTTCCTCACATTCAGTCTTCGGATCACTCCCACACCCGACCTGGTCTATTTCTTACCTCTTTCTTCATGCAAAGTCGTCGTCTCCACCTTGAGGTGGTCCAGCTGCTGTGACATCACGCAGGCTGCCCCCTGTACTACTGCTAGTTGTGTTTCCTTAGTGACCCTGGGCCTCCTCAAGACAAGTCCCTAGTCCAGGCGAAGGGGCGTCTCTTCTCCAGTTTGTGGCTCTCAGTGAGTTCGCCTCTGCTCCTCCATCTCGGGCACCCTTCTACTTTGACCTCGGGACCAGGCCAGGCCTTCTATTTTAGCACTGGCGCCCGGCAGCCGCCGTCACCCTCTGGATAGTCTCCTTAGCGCCAGGCTCCAACGCCCAGAAGCCGCCCCAACCCCGGGGCTCTGGACCCCGATCCCGCACGGCCCTGAGCTGGCTCGAGTACCCGCGGGGACACACTGTAGATCCCGCGGTCTGAAAGGAGCGTCCTGGTTTCCTCCCGCGCCTCGAGGACTATCGGCAGGTAAAAAGGTAAACCTTCACCCCCACCTCTGCAGCCTCTATACCCCCACCCCTCTCCCCGCTCCTTCCGAAAGAGCAAGGCCCGCGAAGCTTCAGGCCTTGCGAGCCTTAAGAACCTCCGATGCCTGACCCACTGGTCCCGAGCTAGGGGCACCCCACACCCTCCGCGCGCAGCGGGAGCAACAACAAAGGGTTCCCGTGCCAGAAGAACTACGCCTGCGCGGCTCTTGCCTCCGCCGAATCCACTCTCCCTCCGTGGACTACATTTCCCAGGCACGTCTGCGGTTGCGCTGACTCAGGGGCAGGGGCGTGGCTAGAGCCGGCCCAGGTGATCCTAATTGGGCAGATCTAGGCGTGGCCACTGGAGAGCGTCGCTTGCCGGGAGTTTTCCCTGGGGTCCTGATTTAGGTGGTACCTCCACGGTGACTAGGGTATACGTGAATAATTTGCTTGCAGCAAAGTTCTTCCGTATTACAGCATTGACTGTTCTCTAGTAAGCAAAGGAAAAAGTTTCTATTTTTTTACGATATACATTAAACTAATTAAAAATCATAGGGACACAGGAAAATCAGACTCCTTTATTTTGTAATAACAATAGCCAATGATTATTAAGCACCTACTATGTGCCAGGCACTCTTCTAAACACTTTATATGTATTATCTCATTTGAAAAAGCAAAAATCAGCTCTGTCATTAATCGGACTCGGAGGACACTGATAAAACCTGCTGCCAAGCAGCTGTAAAGTGCCATAATGATCCTCTTTAAGTAACTACTGCTTTCTTAGCAATGACATCCCCATCTTTGCATTGCTACTGCCACTGAAAAAAAATTACTAAGAAATCTCGTTTGCTAAAATCGTGGCTGTTGGAAAATGTTTGACATCGTATCAGGATAAATGAACACCCACTGTTGCCTGGAGAATCAGAGCCGTCTGTGACAGAGAAACAGTTTCTATTTCCAAACCAGCTGCAGAGCTTCAGATACAGCATTTTCAGTCACAACACATCACATTCATCTTAACTTTGAGATTTCCAAAGAAACAAGACCCTGAGTACACTTTTTAATCCAGGCTGCCTTGCACTGAGCCAATCAAAACACTGCTTCATTTAATTTTACCTAAATTCTACCCTTCCTCAAAATCCTACAATAACCCTGTTTCATCCTTTGTGAGATGCCCCATGGTTCTGCTGGTGATAGTCTACTTTGTTGCAGCAAGTGAATAAACTTAATTTTGTTGGACTATAAATTTATTAGTAGTAGTCCTTATCAGATGTATTTTAACACATTTTACCTCAAAACATAAGCTTCAACAGAGACTAGCACATTGTAGATAATTTTTGAATGAATGATTGAGGTCATTATTATTAACCTCATTTTACAGATGAGGAAACAGGCTCAGAGAAGTTAAGTAACTCACCCAAAGTCACCCATATGATTTGGCTACAGGAACTCACATTCTTAATTGTTGTGCTGTGTGCCTTACTACTTTCCAAATGCAAAAAAAAACAGGCCCAAGATATTACTTGCTTAAAGTTTCCAATACCTTCATACTTAAAATGGAAAATAAATCAGATTCCTTCCCTTGGTAAGGTATGGCCTTGATGTTAGTTGTTGTTCATTCTAATGTGTTCATCTTAATGTGAGGAACATTAAGGGGCCTAGCACTGAGAACACATCAGTTATTTCGAAAAGCACAGTGCCTGGTGCCGAATAAGTGCTGTTGTGTCTGTATCTCTCATAATGTCTTAAGCTCTTCGGTTCTTTCCTAAATGGACAACCTGAGAAAACAACCATCAATGGATTTGTCTGATTGGTTCTCTATGTTTCTTGAGTCTTATGTCTAAACAAATCTCTCACAATGCTTTGGTTAAGAATGGGCAGAATTTGAGACCCCTCACAGTACGTGGCTTTCTCCCTTGGCACATCTCGGTGGTTCCTTCTATAGGTTGTTGTGAAGATCAAATGAATTAATGATGTAATGCTGCTGAGAACACATCCTGGCAAATGACACAAGAAGCATCTCAAGGAAATTGGGAACAGTTAAGATAGAGTCAAACAGAACTCAGAATTAAATATCTAGAAAGTCAATGCTCCAAAATGAAAAACTGCCATGAAGATTCAAATAAAGCAAAATTGGAAAAATACAAGCAATTCTATCTGGAAAAAATAGAATTTTTGTTGTTAAAATAAACTAGGCAAGGTTGAAGTTCATGACCTTCAATGATGCAACAAGAAATGAAAATATACGTGTGTGTATGTCTGTGTGATGTGTGTGTGTGTGTGTGTGTGTGTGACATGCACGTATGTGTGGAGAGAGAAGTAGATGCTGCTGAACTTGAATCTGGATCCTACAGACTTGCAAATCTAAATAAAGATCTAGTTTTACAAACTTCTCAAGAATGTGTACGTATTATAAAGATAAAAATTAAATGACCTGAAACGGAAATAATAGAAATTTATTGACTGGGCTGTTTACACATTTTACAAAATATTTATTGATGTATAATTTTTAAGTATACAGGTGAATGGCTTGACAAATATATATGCCTGAGTAATCAGCACCCCTAGTCATGACATAGAACATTTTTATCTTTCCCGAAAGTTCCCTTTTGCCCTTTGGCAGGCACTATCTGTGTATATAACATTTTAATGATTTCCCATTAAATATACGAAATCAGAAATTTTTTATTAAAAATATATTCAAATCATAGTTTCTATAATGAAAATTTATATAGTACTTGGTTTGAAGCTATGTCTCTTAGCATTTAACTAACTTCAACTGATTTTTCAAATGAAAACTAGCATTGACTTTTACATACTCAAACTGCCCAAAATGCCAGCTGTTAGAGCTGTACCCAAATAACCACAACGTCATTAACCCATCAATGGATGGATTAAATTGAAGTTTAACTTGTATTTTCCATTTATTATCACTGTATACTGGCCTAAAGATTTAGAGAAATGATTTTCATATATTGCCGCTATTTCTGTTGTCAACGTTTGGCTGTATTGCAATTGCTGCAGTGCCATACAATTTAGAGTATATTTTAAGTTGTATTTGAACTTACACTGATTAACAGCCAACTAAAGCTAAATAGAAATGAATTTTAAGGAGGGAGCAGAGCATTTCTGTAAAGGGAAAGCAAAAAGTAAATCAAGTTTCCCAGTTCCATCTTGTTAGGTCATACCTGGTTTTATCCTCCTATGTGTGGGTATCTCAAGGGAACTCTGATAGACTTACCTTTCTAGCTAAGGACCAATCCCTTACAATGACATGGTTTCACTTAATATTTATAATCAGGACTCATTTGTGGTGCTTCATAAACTAAGTGCCAAGTATAAGACACAGGCTCAGAGATATAGTATCTGTGTGTCTTTCCTAATCTTCTACTTGTTCTCTGGTGTATTCAAAGGAGAGAAGATAGTCTTCAAAGAGTACATTCCTACATTCTGTAAAAATTTATTCCTGTGAAACAAATCTTGAAAATCACTCTCTTCCCATGTGTCTTTCCTCCTTAGATAAAACCTTGTGATGTTGAGGACAAGGAGGTAAAGAGAAGCATAGTGATGCAATTGCTCTGTTAAAGGTATCAGTTATTTAAAAGGTGTCCTCTTGCTCCTACAAGTCCTCTGGTATTGTCTCTGTCATGGTTGAGAAGACCCGTGTGATAAATACCTGGATTCCTGGCTTCTCTGAATAGAACTTGTAGATATAGAATTTGGGATGCTCTTCCCAATTAAAAGCACTTTTTCCATTTTAATTAGGTGATTCTATTTCCAGCTGAGGCATTCCTATTTTTAAAAGCCTAAGAAAGTTTCTGAGGATGAGAGGTCAAAAAATCTGACCAAAAAATGTATTAACGAATGATACAAGCATTTACCGTGGGGTCTCTGTACAAAACCCTAATAAAAATCTATTAAGGAAGGTCAGAACTACACAATACCTCTCCTCAAATATCCCACAGAACTTATTTAGTAGTCTCTTGCTCACAACATTAGTTTGCTGACCTGTCATGAAATGCCAAGTCTTACTTAAACTTTCC